CGATATCTGAAACAGTGCAATTAATGCAAGCCTCTACATATAATTTTTCTCCCTCTCAAATGCTTCAAAGAAATGGCAGAAGCGAGAAGCAATCGTTATGCGTTGGACCCGTGTCCAGCATGCTTGCTGGACACGGGTAACAGTGCCGTTAGGCACTGTTATCTCCTTTTTTTTTTTTTTTTTTTTATAATTTCAGACCGCTTCGTTATAAAAGTATATGTTCATAATTTTATTACTATATGTTAATAACTGTACATTCATAACTCCATAACTGTACGTTCGTAACTCTATAACTGTACATTCATAACTCCACAACTGTACATTCATAACTCCATAACTGTACATTCATAACTCCATAATTGTACATTCATAATTTTCGAAGCTCTATGTTCACAATTTTAGAGCTCTATGTTCATAATTTTATAACTATATGTTCATAATTGTAAGTTCATAATGTTAGAGCTCTTTGTCCATAATTCGATCAATAACTGTACATTCATAATTCCATTACTGTAGATTCATAATCTCATAACTGTAGATTCATTCCATAAATGTAGATTCATAACTCTATAACTGTACATTCATAACTCCATAACTGTACATTCATAATCTTCGAAGCTCTATATTCACAATTTTAAAGCTCCATGGTCATAATTTTATCACTATATATGTTCATAATTGTAAGTTCATAATGTTAGAGCTCTGTGTTCATAATTTCATAATTGCATAACTGTACATTCATAATGGCATAACTGTACATTCATAAAGGCATAAATGTACATTCATAATCCAAAAAAAAAAAAAAATAACGCCGTTAACGGCAAAACGTGCACACATTTTTTTTTTTTTATAACTAAATGACGCGTTTTTTTTTTTTTTGAAAAACGACGTCGTTTTGGGCCCGTGTCCACAATTCATTGTGGACACGGGTCTAGGGCATAATTTGCCAGCGAGAAGAGATGAAGAAAGCAAATGTTGCGGGCCGTGGGTCAATTATTGGACTTCAGAATAAAAAAAAAATCATTTAAGCCATAAATAAAAATTTAAATATATATAAATGTATATATATATCGTATGGGTCTTTAATGTTTTTCTGGATGTCTAAACTTAGGACTTTTAAAAGAAAAAAAATACATTTGAATTATCTCCACAAAAGTGGTCTTGGACTTATAAAATGACATTTCAGTTTATGGAATAACATGTGCATAAAAAATATATTATATAATCATATAAAAAAAATGTGTTCAATTAGAGTTTAAATTTACTCATACAAAATTTAAAATTTGCTTTCTAAATGTAATTATCTTAGTTATTATTCGTATTGTGAAAATTATAATATAGATGAAATACAATTAAGAATAAATCAATGTAATTATGTACAAAATTAGAGATTATATTAACCATTCAAAATTTTAATTATAATTTTGTATTCTATAAAAATAATAAATACTTGACCAATGGAAGCTCAAAAATATTATTATATTAAATAATTTAAAATATTTTTATTTTTTTTTATTTTTTATTTTTATTTATAATAACATAATTTTTTTTCCCGTGCATCGCGTGGGTGAATAACTAGTTTTATTTAGAATACAACAAACATAGAAAGTAAAAATTTTCCAGTAAGATGTAAACCTGGTCTGTAAAATGTAAATACATATATTTATAGTATTGAATAGATATCAAGATATGTCTCTTAACTTTGAACATACATTTATTTTTGAAAAGTTGGGTTTATTAAGCATTTAAAAAAGAAAGGTGATGGTTTTTTAATAGACTATACTCTTCATAAATTGGGTAGTTCAGGAACAAAATGAATCTAACTAACAAATCTGTACTGAAAAAAGGTTCCCAACACGGGCCATTTGGACCGCTACGGCGCTACTAGGCTACAATTTTTTTATTTTTTTTTTAAAGACTACAAATTATGAATGAATAAATTAATTACATCAACAGGGGCAAAAATATGTCGTGCAACCATGTGCACTATGCATGGTGCACACGGTTGCAAAAACAGCGTCGTTTTGATTAAAAATGACACGTTCGCTTTAATATATATATATATATATATATTCGATTGCGTTAACAGCGTTATGATGTGCTATATATCCAGAATTAAGAAACTATATATCCATAATTAATGAACTATATTCCAGAATTAGTGAACTATATATCCACACGGGTTACTGGTACTCTGTTTTGGCTTATGGCAGTTCGTTGCGTATGTGTATTCAGAATGAATGAACTATATATTCAGAATTAATGAACTATAAATTCAGAACTAGTGAACTATATATCGAGAATTAATGAACTATATATCCAGAATTAGTGAACTATGTATCCAGAATTAACGAATTATATATCCAGAATTAGTGAACTATGTATCCCAAATTAGTGAACTATATATCCACACTGAAAATGGTAGAAATCCCGTCGATTAGAATTAAAAAAAATAATAATAATAATTTGTGGAATTAAACAGGTCACAACTGTGTGCGCACACGGTTGCACAACATACCGATTGATCAACATGCCAGTTGGCCAAAGTTGTGAGTCCAATCCTCTAATCACACAACCTCATACAAGTGAAAGACAAAGGACAAAAAAACAGAGGTGGACTATTCTGTGATTTGAATGATGATGATAGTCTGAATGGGAGCTAAAACCCTTATTTACCCTCTTTGGTAAAAAATAGTTAACATATCAATCAATTTTTGTTTATTAATTGTTTGTCTTATTAAAAATCAATATAACTGTTTAGTTAATTAGCTTTAGTTAATGTTATCAATTAATTATACTCTTTAATTAACTCAATCAGCAAACTGCTAACAACTATCTGCTAACAGTCATTTACAATACAAAGATAGTGTCTATGGACTTGAAAATAGTGAAGAAACGAGTGATAGGCAAACACCATAGGTCTCATAGCTAAGCCGCCGCCACCCAACCCCCATCCCACCTGTACGGCCCTAAAGGGAGCGTTATGCTGTGCATACGGATGCAAAAACGACGTCGTCTTGGCGTCTAACTTAAAAAAAAAAAAAATCAGAATTACATAACTACACATCCATAATTTCATAACTATACTTTCAGAATTGCATAACTACACTTCCAGAATTGCATAACTATAATTTCAGAATTGCATAACTACACATTTATAACTTCATAACTACACATCCAGAATTGCATAACTACACTTCCAGAATTGCATAACTATACTTCCAGAATTTCATAACTAAAAAATCCAAAATGAATGAACTAAAAATGAATAACATAATGTTGTTGCTGGGAATCAAAACTGATTTTTTTTTTTAAAGTAGGGCGCGCGTTTTATGCAAAACGACGTCGTTTTTGCATCCTTATGCACCATGCAGGGTGCATACGGATGCACAACATAATTTGCCGCCCCCAATCATTATGCTATGCAACCGTGTGCACCATGCATGGTGCACACGGTTGCGAATGACGCCGTTTCACTATGGTGGAGTAACGGTGTTGTTAGTGGCACTGTTTAACTCCACCAATCAATTTTTATTTTTTAAAACTTCAATCGATGGGATTTCCACCATTTTCGGTGTGGATATATAGTTCACTAATTATGGACATATAGTTCACTAATTCTTGATATATAGTTCATTAATTCTTGATATATAGTTCATTAATTCTGGATACATAGTTCATGAATTCTGGATACATAATTCACTAATTCTGGATATATAGTTCATTAATTATGGATATATAGTTCACTAATTCTGAATATATAATTCATAAATTTTGAATACACAGACGTAGTGAACTGTCATAAGCCAAAACAGAGTACCAGTAACGGGTGTGAATATATAGTTCACTAATTATGGATATATAGTTCATTAATTCTGGATATATAATTCAAATTATACACAGCATAACACCGTTAACAACAATAAAAAAAAAATGGACATTAAAAAGATGTATTTTTGCAAGCACACGGTTGCATAGCATAATTTGCCTGATCTACACACAGTAAGCAATAATTAACATTTAACACCCAATACTTATTTTCCCTGCTCATCTTTCAATAAATTAACCCAACTAACTGATCCAACTCCCTCACCCATCCAAATTCCATCTCAATCTACATTTCGCGGCCATTAAAGATTTTTAGTACATTGGCGGGTGGCTTTAAGTTGTGTGTTTGGTATGCACTTTGTACAATGAAATCGAAATCAGAATAGGAATTAAATATTTGATAATAATATGTATTTTGGTGAAAATATTTTACATATTTGGTAGTATGATGAATTTAAATAATTAGTACTATTGATGTTTTGTTATGTATGACTTTGTAATGAAAATAAATGATTTAAAAATATATCAAAATAAAAAATTAAGACAATTGATTCTAATGACATCTAAAGCACCAATATATGAAAACAAATAAATTTAAAAGTATTAATCTAAACTTAAAAATCAAATTACCTATAGAATGAAATAATACCATCTTTTAATAAGGGAAATATGTTTTTAATTGAAGGGATAAATAGATAATCAAATCCCTGTTTTGAAAAAGTTGTCCATCAAACACTAAGTATCATTTTAATTCTCATTCTTGAGGTCAAAGTACCTATGAGGTCCTTATACTATAGTATTTTGTCCAATTTAGTACTTTTAAAAGTGAAACACTTAAGGACAATAGCTTATATTTATGTATTTATTTTAGACATATTGATGTAATATATTGGTGGTAAAATAATTAATTTTAAATCTTTATAAAATAATATATGAGTTGGCATGTAAATATGATGACGTGATAGATATAATGTCAGCGCTACATCAAGTATTATCCTTAATTGTTTCACTTTTAAAAGTACAAAGATTAAATTGAACAAAATGAAGATAGAATGACTAAATTGAACAAAACAGCATAGTACATGGACCTAATTGGTAAGTCCTGGAATAGCTATTATTCAATTCGTTGCGATGGAAATCTATAAAATCTCTTAAAATAGATTATCTTATCCAGTGTCTGCCGTGAGTTTTACTAGTTACATTTATGTATACGGAGGAGAGAGGCGGCAATGAGCAGCAGCGGTCGCCGCCGAACGAGGCTGCGGCACCGGCGGAGTTCACGGGAACATGCGGCAGTACTGGCAACTCGCTTCAGACGACGTTGGTTATGTTGGCGTGGCTTGGCGTTCCTCCCTCTATCGTTGTCATCGTCTTCGCCTCATTCATCTTCCTTTCCTTCATCAACGCCATCATGTATGTATATATAAGTCTCCTCTCTCGATCTGTATATAACTAATAACTGCGGCCATTGTGATTTGTGGATGTTGAACTCTGTGGTTTTATGATTATATATTGCAATATCTATGTGGACTTTAATTTTGAATTTCAGGGTAATTGGATTGTTGTTCCTATTGATTTGCATTCCGATTGATCAAAACAGTAAATGGGGCATTAGAATAGCCAGGTTCAGTTTTCATCACTTCATTACTACAGTTTATTGAATGTTTTTTTTTTCCTAAATTCGCATTAAAAAAGAAGAAGACATTATTGATTTTTTGGTGATATTCAGGTGTATTTGTATGCAAGCTTCCGGTTACTTCCCGATGCATTTGTACGTGGAGGACATCAGAGCCTTTGATCCTAATCGCGCATATAGTAAGTTTCTAAGAAGATGACATTGAAAACAGATAATTCTTGCTTAATTTAGATGTTGGTTTGTGTTTCTGGCCTTGGGCACTTTTTTCTTTGTTTTTTCAATCTTGTTCTTGTTTTGAAGCTGAAGTACCAAAGAAAGAAAAAAAAAAAGTTTAGGTTTGGGTTGAAAATTTTAGCAAAATTATAATTTTGATGGGCTATTTTGTAGTACAATTTATTGTGAGGTCTATTTCTGATTTGGATGAGGTTAAAGTTGAATTAATTTTTTCAAAGTGAGATAAAAAAATTTGATATATTATATATTAAAACGGATAATAAATAAATGAAAAATTAAGTTTCAAAGTATATACACATTTTTTTGAGTTTGAAAAAAAAAAAAAAAAAAAAAAAAAAGGATGACAGCCCATGTGAAATAAGTTATGTTAAATTTTTGAAATATTTTTCAAACATTTGGCCACTTGGGGAGAAGTGATGCTGTGGACAGTTTCTCGACTGATGCGGAGAGTTAAAATATACCTATCGGTTGATGTCCAGAAGTGGATTTCCACTTTTTGGGTGTATCTTCTGGTTGGACCTCTCGGTGTAATGTTTATGAAAATTTGTTAATATGATTAGTTTATGAATTAATTTTAATTTATTTTTTGAGAATTAACTACGTAACTATAGGTGTTATTTTCAAATTAATGGTCTGTTACGGAAGTTACAATATGATAATCATATCTTAACTATAATATAGCCATATAGTTTGGTGAGCAATTATTGTAACAATAATTGTTCATCAAACCATATGGTTATATTATAATTAAAATTTATTTATTTATTTATTACATGATTAACCTTAATTCATTTTCATCTCTCTTGCCTCATCCAATCCATCCAAAAACTTACAAATAAACTTCAATTGAGATTATTCTAATGAGGTCAATCTTAAAAATTTAGTACATAGTATTTAATATTACAAATTTTTAAGAACTTAGTAAACTAGAATAGTAATTGAATTTCAATTTTCAAAGTCACCACGGATCAAAGCTTTCAGACCTTTGGGATTTCTAACAATTTTCAGAGTCACCACGGATCAAAGCTTTTAGACCTTTGAGATTTCTAACAATTTTCAGAGTCACCACGGATCAAAATTTTTAGACCTTTGAGATTTCTAACTCTAGAAATCTCAAAGGTCTACAAATTTTGGTCCGTGGTGACTCTGAAAATTGTAATTCAATTACTATTGTAGTTTACTATGTTCTTAAAAATTTGTAATATTAAATACTATGTACTAAATTTTTAATATAGTTTAAGATTTGTAGTAATCACCCATCTTAAATACCAATTCTTATTTAAATTGTAGATATATTTATGTTCATAATTATATTTTATCATAGCAATTCACACATAATTATTAAATAACAAAATTTTTATATATGAATAAACCTAATATAGGGTATATTTTTATAACATATTTGCCGTGCATCGCACAGGACAAATACTAGTGTATTAATATAGTTTGAGTGTTTAACTATATTAAAGTAATCCATTTTATTTTTAAAGAGTACGTGACGTTACAATGCTCTTAGCACTTCGTGAGTTAGCGAATTAGTTTTAAGGAAAGTGTGTTTTATACACATGATTTGAATTTTATCTCCTTACTTTCATACCATTGAACGTTAAGATTATATTTTAAGAATTTCGAATCCCGTTATTATATTTTTATATATCGATTTATAGCCTCCTAGTCGGACGGTAGAGTAGCGCCTAACGTCTAGGCGGCTAATTATTAAAAAAAAAAAGTGCACGTGTGTGGGTGCACGCGCGCGCGCGCGCACACACACACACACACACACACACACACACACACACACACATATATATATATATATATATATATATATATATATATATATATATATATATATATATATGTTCTGGTGCACTGAGAGGAGAGCCATTGATTTTGTTTAAATCAACGTTCAGGATTACCAAAATTTTTTAAAAAAAAAATCGGTGACAATTTGGTAATTTTTGCAACTAGGTCAAATTTAAGGTGCGTGTGTTTTGTACTTAATGCGAGTAGTTATTGAAACTTAAGGTGCGTGGGTTTTTGTGGTTAAGGTGCGTGGGTTTTTGTGGTTAAGGTGCGTGAGTTTTGTGCTTAAGGTGCATCATGTTTCTTCTTTGCGCACCTTTCTCTGTGAGTCACGCATAGTTCAGATCCTCAAGAAGAACAAAACTTTTGAACTGAGAAGTGGTTCAGACCCACAAGAAGAACAAAATTTTTGAACTAAGGGTGGTTTAGACCCTCAAGAAAAAAACTTTTGAACAAAACTTAACGTGCGTCATTTTAACACTTAAGATGCGTAAGTTTTGTGCTTAAGGTGCGTGAGTTTTGTGCTTAAGGTGCGTCATGTTTCTTCTTTGCGCACCATTCTGTGAGTCACAGGTAGTTTAGACCCTCAAGAAGAACAAAACTTTTGAACTGAGGGGTGGTTCAGACCCACAAGAAGAACAAAACTTTTGAATTGAGGGGTGGTTCAGACCCTCAAGAACAAAACTTTAGAATAAAATTTAACGTGCGCCATTTTAACACTTAAGGTGCGTTGTTAATATTAGTGGGTTGTTCTAATACTTAAGGTGCATGTTTCTATCACTTAATGTGCACCATTTTTAGCTCCTTTCTTCCAGACATGGTTGTTCTAATACATGCATTTTTTTTTTTTGTTTAATTTTCATTGATTTGAGCCGTTGATTTAGATTTTAATGCTTAAGGTGCGTCAACCGCACGGGAAGCTTTTACCGTACCTGAACCCTTTAGCTTTAACTTAAAAGTCAATTAGACTCCTAAACTTTTTAAAGGTGCAATTACACTCATTAATAATTCATTTAGGTGCAATGAAGCCCAAAAACAAGTAATGACCTGCTATTACAGGTCATTAGCTTTCAGGCCACATTCCGGCAAAAAAAAGTGACCAATCCACCTAGATTTGCCGAAAATTTCGCTGGTCACTTTTTCGTCGGAAATTTCGCTGGTCACATTTTTTTTTTTTTTTCATTTCTTCAGAGTTATGACTGAACTTACTGTTATTCTTCCTCACAGTTTTTGGCTATGAACCACATTCAGTTTGGCCAGTTGGAATTGTTATGCTTTGTGCCCTTACTGGTTTTATGCCTCTACCCAAAATCAAAGGTCTCTGTAGCACTGCTGTAAGGAACTCTGCTTACTGATCAAGTAGTTTCATAGTTGTTTGTGGTTGCTCGACTCAGTTGTCAATTTTAATAGAGGGGTTTTCCGAAAATATGCAGGTGTTTAATACAACAGTGATGAGGCATATATGGACTTGGTTGGGAATGTCAGCTGCAACAAAGCAAAACTTCAAGTCCCTGCTCTCATCTGGGTATAGCTACATCATTGTGCCAGGTGGAACTCAGGAAACATTTTATATGGACCATGGTTGTGAGGTTCGATTTTCTCTTTTTTTTTTTTAGAGGGGGCGGGTGGTTGAGATTAGCCGGCTCAAACCAAAAAGGGGTGTCGCTTCTGTTAAGAGTCAAACTTGTATTACAAAGTTAATAATCTGATCAACTTAGCTGAGGTGACCCCCGAACGCCTATTTTACTAAACATACTTTATCAGACTCTGTTCCTGAAATCAAGAAAAGGATTTGTACGGATTTCTATGGAGATGGGCACTCCTCTGGTTCCAGTTTTCTGCTTTGGCCAGGTGATACTGTGATTATGTGTAGTTTGTGTCCCAACTTCATGCCACAAATGGGTTTATGTAACTTGATTTTTTTTTGTGTGGAATCTGCAGTCCAATGTGTACAAGTGGTGGAAACCTAGCAGCAAACTTTACTTGAAATTTTGTCGAGCTATTAAGTTCACACCAACTCTCTTCTGGGGTTACATGGGGTAAGTGAAGGACCCTTTTCAACTACTACTATATAGTGGTCATGTTTGGTAAATGACTATTAGCTGATTGAGTTAATTAGAGGGTATAATTAGTTGATAACATTAACTGATTGTAGAAAGGTGTTTGGTAAATTAGCTAGCTGATAATTGTTTGGTATAATTACTTTTGCTTTGAACAACTTTTTGAATTTTAACATTTTTTAGTTACAAAAAGCTAATTAACTAAACACTTATATTAATTTTTAACCAAATCAAAAAATTAATAGTGGTCAAATAAGCTAAAATTGGCCTATAAACTAACTATTTTACCAAATAGGGCCAGTATATACTCTCTTTGCAGGCTTGAAAGAAGAAGTAAGAAAATGTTGGCTGTTTGCAGGTCTTTTATGCCGTTTCAACATCCAATTCATGTTGTGGTTGGTAGACCAATAGAAGTAGAGAAGAACACACAACCCACTGCAGAAGAGGTAAGCATCATCATCCTCGAACCACATAATTATCATGAAATTTTTCTGTTTTTTTTTTTTTTTTTAATTTTTTTAATTTTTTTTTTTTTAATTTTCCTAATTGAATTTACACTTGAATTGAATGGTAGCTTGCGACACTACACAGTCAGTTTATAGAAGCCTTGGTAGAACTCTTTGAAAAGCACAAAATGAGGCTTGGTTATACTGATCTCAAGTTGAAAATTCTTTAAGGCATCCCCTTATCAGCCTAGCCTGTATTGTTCGCCATGATTGCCAGTTTCTCAGATTTCAACAACGTATTAGAATATCGATTCTCTTCTCAATTTGAGTTGGTTAAATATGAGTTAACTGGTTTATCTTCTTGTGATCCTTTACCAGCTAAACTCACACCTGTAATCGAAGCATAATATCTAACAGGCTAATACATATATGAAAGATTTCACTGTATATTATGGAGTGAATATTGAATTTCTGAGTTTTTAAGGTGAAAGAAAGAACAGGGAGAGTAATCTCTGTAACAGAATTGTTTTCTGAGACAACAAGTTTAATGATTACTCAGTATACAACATATGTTGGTACAATACACAAGCAAACCATTAAAGACCCTTCCATATTCTGATAGGTCAGCTAGATCAGAGGAGGAAAATGTAAACTGAAGCATCACAAAAATAAAACCAAAAAATACATATTTTCGATGGATGTCATGATACAAAACTCCATTTCGAGCCTAAATCGCCATTGGATTGAAGTTAACCAAGTTCCTATCATCCTCAACCAGCTGGAACTATTGTTGTTATGCCTTCAAATCTTCTGTTTTTATACAATGGCCTCGAGACACCATCATCATGATGTGACCATAGATGCCAAATCCAACTCTTCATCAGAATCAATGACATCTTCAAAATCATAGAATGGATTTGCCTGGCACCATAATTAACCGATATGTTACTTATCAGAAACTATATGTAATGCATGTGTGTGCAACACGTGTGCAAATTATCTCCCAAAGATTCATCTTCAAGAACGACGCTCATTGCCCAAATTTAATTGCATTTCTATTTTTTAAGATAGCTCAGATCTACGGCTACTGCTTACCTTTGGTCTGGGAGTAACTGCATCAAAGCTATGGAAAATGGGAGTGTCGAAATCAGGAGGTTCCAATACGATGTATGCTCCTTTATTTCGGTACCTATCTTCCGTAGCCTGCAAGGTGGATATGGAGACGAACAAAAATAAGTTTCATCAGGTTGGAAAGTAACATCTAAATACCCATACAGTTATGCTCATGTTAAGGAGCATACAAAACTTTAGTTGGTAAAATTATCATTCAAAACTTAGAATTTAAATCCCACAATAATTATATTTCCAAATAATGAGATACATATATTAAGCAATATTCATTGTCATGCCCAATCCTCAATTGGAAAGTTGAAGTTCTCACTAAATTAGAACACTACAGAAGCTGCAAGCAGATTAGGCTAGAAAAAATTCAAAATCAAGAAAGCAAAAAGAAGAATATACCTGAAACTGCGGATAGTCTGGCGCACTAAACAATGTGATCAATTTCCCAGATTCCACGACATGATCTATAGTGTACCCTGCATCCATTCCTCCGAGACCAGGCCGCTTTTCCCTTGCATCTGGACCTTCATGTGACCTGATGATCAACTGAAATAGCAGCAATTGAAAAGCCTAAGTTAGCATTAAACCCAAAAAAAAAAAAAAAAAAAACCTTTCCCTATGGAATCATTTATCAGGCATAACAAATTCAGAGAGATCTTACTACTTGTTACTTCACACTTCTATAATCAGACGTTTTCTCTGCTTCATTGGCTCTCTTTTCCAGTTTCTTTTTATTGTCAGGTTTCCATGTAAGCTCATCCACTTTTATATACTACAGCGGTTTTTTAGGAAAGCATCTTACTACCTAATTTATGTATGACAGAAATGAAATGACCTAATACATATACTGACACCTAAAACGGTTTGTTTCCAGATTGGTTTCTGATATCTAGGCACTGAGTAAAAAATCTATCCATATAATGAATAGTAGTACTTTCCCCCAATCATATATGGCTGTGAAAAGAAGGCAGTTCATAGAGTTAATTCATGGATAATGGAAAAGGAAGAATCGTAAGAGCACACTCTTCTTCCAACTGTTCTTATAGTTGGAAAGTTTTGAAGCTTCTCCATATTCTAAAGTTGAAATAATTCCATTATCCAAAACAACATTCCAAGTTAAAGTTACAACAGGAATAATATTAATATAAGACTAGAAATAAAAAGAAATATCATGTGATAATATTTTGTGGGCACATTCATGCATGACCGACAAAACCATAAATTTCAGTAACAACAATCCAGATTAACCTACATCAAAGATCACCAAAATCAAAGATAAAGATCTATAAAGTAAAAGAAGCTAGTGACAAGTATAAGTGTTTTTGCCAAGTAATCAATAAATGATGAATTGTGCAAGTCAAATTCAGCAAGCTACTAGTGCATAACTTGTTTAAGGGATTCCTTACAAGCAAAAAAGTAGAACATTAATAAGTTCTGCTAAAACTGAAACCAATTACGCACAGATGGTATCACAGAAAAGACCATTGCAGAGAAATACTGACATCCTTAATGTTACCTTTAGGTTGCACTTCCTTAAGAATTCGTCTGTCATATCTGGACCCCATAAAAGACCTATGCCCCTTTCCTTATTTGGGGAAAGACCATTGGTCATGGATGGGTCAGACCACAAGACATCACCGGGAATCAAATTAGAACCTTCCCATGGGGGGTCAAGGACGGATCTCCTAGCTTTAGCCAGCTCCTCAAAGGAGCCAAGGGATAAAGTAGTGATATCAGGGTTGAGATTTATTCTGCGGCTCTTCTTCCCCTTAGCTCTTTTAGATGGAGTAACAGCAATGCTGCGAAAAACACCCCCATGTGCAGTATAAACACGACCAGCAATGATGGATGCAAGAGGCAGTCCTTCAAAACAACCCAAACACTTTCTGTAGACATGTTTTCCTCTATCCCCATACTTGGCAAGAACTTCTTTTTCAAAGCCATAAACAGAAGTGCAGTACTTGGATTCATGATTTCCACGAAGTAGGTACACTCTCTGAGGCATGAAAACCTAGAAAAATGTACTGGCATTAATATATCTAAATAAGCAAAGCACGGCATGCATGCAAAACAGAATAATCACATTCTATAACCCAGCTATGCACCAAAACCAAGTTAAAACGGACCATGAAAACAAATTGAACACCCACCAAAGAACTGTAATCAAGAAAATAATGTGGAATTTGCATCCTTTCCAAAGATTCAACAAGGATGAGAATATGAGATACTCTTGTGCATTCAATTAAGGTATAATATCCCTCCAATGCCACAAGTAGTAACCTTTTAGCTGTACAGAATTGTATGTGTCACTTGAAATGGAAAACAGGAACAGATATAACAAAGCAACAAGTGCAAATGCCTGATTGAAACAAGATTAGCATTTTTCTTGTTTAATATCATTTGGCATGTAACATATTCAGATTGAAAGCATTTAGATAGCACTGAGTTGAATGAATGCATAATATTAATGGCTGAATGCATTTTCTTCAACTTTAAGCACATGTTCACTACAATTCAGTTTCATATATGTGACTGAAATTTCTCAATTGTTTTAAACTGATTACCTTCCAAGCCAACAAGAGAAGAAAGGTCTCAAGACCCCATGCTCCCCTATCGACATAGTCCCCATTGAACACAAAGAACCGATCCTCACCTGGAAACCCAGCGTCCCTCAACAGAAAAAGCACGTCGTGCAGCTGCCCATGAACATCCCCGACCACCACGACACGGGAACCCGGGCCCAGACCCGACCCATCATCGATCCCGACACAATTGGGCTCCTTATGCAGGATCTTCGAGGCCGTGAGGACAAGGCGATCGAAGACCTCGACGGGGAGAACGGTGGGGAGATCCGCGGGGGGCAGATTCCTGGAAGCCCAGTCGAAGGTCAGCATAAGGTCCGTGACCCAATCTAGGGTTAAGATTCCGTCTTCCGGCCATGAAATGGGGATCTGCGGCGCCGAGGGAGAGCGCGAGGGAGTCAAATTATTCTGCTTCTCCTCTTCGGATGAAGAAGAGGTGGAGGGTACGGAGGCTGAGGAAAAGAAGTCCTCGTCCGAAGACGGCGGTTGTGGAGGCGGCGGCGGCGCCGCCTCAGGAGCTGAGGATGGAAGTGCTGACGCTGCTGCTGAGTCTGAGAGCATGGTCAGTAATGGACGAAAATGGCGATTTTTTTTTTCCGTTTTCCTTTTAAATTTTTTATATTTTATTTTATTTTTTGGGGGTTATTTTAAAGAGAAATTATTGGGTCTGTAAGGTAGAAGAAGAAGAAGTTGAAGGCAGAGTATTTTCATAGGGATTCTGAGTTGTAATGTCTTGGTGCTTAGTCAGAGCCAGTTCAGATTCTTTATCTTTTAACAAAAAAAAAAAAAAAAAAAAAAAATCTTATCTCCACAAACAAAATAGTATCCAATTGTTTATATGTAATACCCATTTTAAATTACAATGATTTCTGCAAAATTCTATTAATGAAATATTTAATTTTTAATTTCAGATTTTAAGTCAAAAGTTTAGATTATGATATCATTACATTGGAGGTTAAAGTAAAATGATACTCCGTAATAATTGTTAACGTTACATCATGACTTGGCAAATTATATCGTGCACCGCAGTGCATAATCAATTATGCATCGCGCTTCAAAACGACGTCATTTTGTTTAATGAAAAGAAACGACATCCGTTTCTCGCCGTTCCGCAAAAAGTAACTCTATTATTCAGTTTCATTTTGTATACACTGCAGTTTCAGTTCTACATAATTACAATTTCATTTCGATATAACTACAGTTTCATTCGATATTCATACACTCAAATATGTGAAAATGTTATTTAATTTTATTTTATATACACTATAGTTTCATTAAAACATAACTACAGCTTCATTGCACAATATACACTCAAATATGTGAAATGTTATTCAGTTCCATTTTATATACACTGCAGTTTCATTTACCACAACTACAGTATCATTTTGATATAACTGCAGTTTCATTTGATAACATATAAAATAATACGTGAGGCAGTGTCGATTTAGATACATTGTAGTATCAGTTTAGATACACTGTAGTTTCAATTGGTAATTAACACACACAAAAAATGCGCACTCCGTTAACAATAACGACACGCCATTTCTTTATTTAAAGAAACGACACCGTTTTAACCGCGGTGCACAACTACACGTGCATTGCGGTCCATAATATAACAATTGGACTTACTTCTCACTAAGAGGTCTCTGAGATGTTAAAACAGATTTTGCCTGTCGGGCCAATCTATAGTGCCCCTTGTTTAAGTGAGTTTCGAGTTTTGTGGCTTGCAAAAGAGCGGGCCTCATAGGCTACTAGCCATGCTTGGCCCGCGGGGGTGGGATTAGGCAAATTATATCATGCACCGCGCGCCCTTTTGTTAAATGAAAAGAAACGGTGTTTGTTTTCTGCCGTTTCGCACCCTTTCGCAAAAAGTAACCCTGTTATTCACTGTCATTTTGTATACACTGCAGTTTCAGTTCAACACAATTATAGTTTCATTTTGATATAACTATAGTTTCATTCGATATTTATAGACTCAAATATGTGAAAATGTTATTTAATTTTATTTTATATACACTATAGTTTCATTAAAACACAACTACATGATCATTTTGATATAATTACAGCTTCATTGTACAATATACACTCAAATATGTGAAATGTTATTTAGTTGCATTTTATATACACTGCAGTTTCATTTCACTATAACTACAGTATCATTTTGATATAACTGCAGTGTCGATTTAGATATACTGTAGTGTTAGTTGGTGTTTAATACACCAAACAAGCAGACTCCGTTAACTATAACGGCGGGCCGTTTCTTTACTTAAAGAAACTGTGCTGTTTTTTACCGGTGCATGACCGCGGTCTATGATATAACGACTGGTGGGCTTACCCCTCTCATTTTAAAAATTGTATTTTAAAAAAAGTCAAAAATTCAAATTCAATTTATCAATTATTCATTATTCACATTTCACATTTTCACACACCTAAAGGAAAATATGTTGCAACTAACGATTCGGTTGCATGGTTACACAATGGGCAATAGAGTTCAAGATCAATACCTCACAATGCTAGCTTGTTTAGTGGAAACTGGAAAGAATTTGTCTAGCACGTCTATGGCAAATTATGCTGTGGAACCGTATCCACCTTGTAAGGTGGTCACAGTTCTAAAACTGTTCATAATTATGAATATATAGTTTTATAATTATGAACAGAGAGTTGTGAACATATAGTTCTGTAATTATGAAAATATAGAGATTCAATAATTGTGAATATGAAGTTTAAAATTTTTGAATATATAGCTTTATAATTATGAACATATAGTTCAGTAATTACAAACATAGAATTCTGCAACTGTGAATATAGAGTTCAATAATTATGAATATGAAGTTCAAAAATTATGAATATATAACTTTATAATTATGAACATATAGTTCAGTAATTATGAACATAGAATCGTGTCTACCTTGCAAGGTGAATACGATTCCACGGCATAATGATTGCACATTTATATAGAAAATTAAGAATTTTTGACGGAATTTTTAGCCTCTACAACTCCTTCAAATTAAAGCTGAGAAAATCATCCCAATTCCCAACCTGCAACATATATATCTCCCGTAGCCATTTTGTAGCCTTGTGGAACATACATAATAAATACCCATACGACACTACAGTGTTCTTTCTTATGACCTTCTTAACAAATAACCATGGCTGTTTTTTTTTCTTCTTTTTTTTTTTTTTAGCCCCATTCTTATAAATAAATGAGACCTTACCAAAAGTATAAACACAATCTTTAAAACCAATATCATAAAATATACGGAGTATGATTTTTATTTCAAATAAGTATAAATGATGTTATACAAGCTGAATGCAAAAATCACAGTTTCTTTCCGTAAAATATATGATTTTTATTTGAAATAACCATGTGCCAAAGGCATAAAATTAAAGATGAAAAGCAAAATAAGTTTAGCTAAGTAAACCAAAGCTAAAAAGAACTAAAAGGAGTATAGCTATTCTATCATATAAGAAACCAAAAACACTTAAAGGGCATGTTTATTTATTTTCTCCTTTTTTTTCATTTTCTCATTAATATTTTTTTCAATTTTTCAAATTCATTTTCCAAACTTAATTTTTTAGAATTATATAATCAACTCAATATATCAATGCTAAATACTTGAAAGGTAAATATTTACCCAAAAAATATAATATTAATAAATAAATTAGAACTATTTTAATTTTTTTCTTTAGATTTTATTTTCTTTGAATACCCAAACATCAGAAAATCTAAAAAATAACTTTTGAAAATCATTTTTCTGATTTCCAAACGGATCCTAAATTACTCAAATCATTACAAAGTTTATTTTCATAGAGTCCATGGTGTTGAAATTGTTGTTTGCAAGAACAAAAAAAAAAAAAAAAAGAATGGGAATGAAAAAAACAAAAAAACAACAACAACCGAGCTTTAAATAAATTAAAGGGAAAAAAACAATGTTGAAATTGGTATTTAAAAAAAAACAAAGGAAAAAATAAAGTTTGAACAAAAAAAAAGAAAAAAAAAAAAGAGGAAAAGCGAGACATCGGAAGGGAAAAAAAACATAACATTTAGGAGCGTTTGGTTCGGGTTATCTAGGATAACCAAGGTTATATTTGGCTAGTTATACAACATTCCTTTGTTTGGTTGAAGTTATCCAACTTTCTCATGGAATGTTATTTACCCTCCACATCAACTTTTTTAATAATTTTGAGGGAATGTGATAACCTTCCTCTCCTTAGGTAATATAAGATTCCCTTGCTATTTTACAAAATTTGCCCTTCACTTTGCAAGATGATTTGTAATATGAGGGCATTAAGGTAAAATAACCACTATAATGTTCCCAACAATTCATCAACCAAACAGGTTTATATTATATAACCTAGTTTTTACCAAACACATGAATCTAACATTCCCAACAATCTAACGTTCCCTTAGGCAATCTAACATTTTAAGAGTTAAACAATGTAGAAGCAAGTAGAGCGCCCTACATTTCTCCAATTTAGAAAATTAGTTAAAGTGATTCTCTAACTTTAAAAAAAATGTGGGGAAATATACATCATTTCCTAATTTGGAAAAATAATATGTAAATATGTTCCATTTAAAAAAAATGAAAAATAGTTCATATTTCCAGTTTCTAGTGGGGATTATTTGGGAATTCAAAAATATTTTTTGAAAAGTAACTCATTTTCTTATGTTTAACTAAAAAAATATTTGGTTCATTTTCAATATATAAAGTTATTTATTATAAAATATTAATACAAATGAAAAAAATACTCCGCAAAAAAAAAAAAAAAAAAAAAGCAAGACAAACACATATTAGTTGGAGTTGTGATTAGGATTGTATTATTGATTGAATCAAACTGTTCAGGATTACAGATAGGGAATAAATACGAAGTATAGAGTTACAGAGAGACTACGACTACAATAAGAGTCCTAACACTCCCCTCAAGCTCAAGTGGGAGTAACAACTGCAACTTGTCATATAAGAACGCAAACTGCGGAGCAGCAAGTAATTTAGTAAAGATATCTGCCAATTGATCCTTAGTTGAGATAAAAGTAACCTGAAGATCACCTGCAGCCACATTGTCACGAACAAAGTGGTAATCAATCTCAATATGCTTTGTACGTGCATGGAAAACAGAATTAGCACACATGTAGATCGCACCAAGATTGTCACACCACAACTTTGGGACAGGCACATGAGACACACCTAACTCACGCAATAATGACACAACCCAAGTGACCTCAGCACAGAAGACATCTGTCAGGGCCTTGTACTCAACCTCAGTAGAAGACCTAGCCACTACTGTACGTGTTTCTTACAAACCCAAGAAACAAGATTAGACCCCATAAAAACCGCAAAGCCACTCGTAGATTTCCTATCCGTAGGACAACCAGTCTCATCCGAACCAGAGAAGGCATGAATATATGTGTTAGAGGACTTACTCAGTTTCAAACCATAGTGTAGAGTCCCCGTCACACCCTCTTAAGCTGAGCCCAATTAGCCAACGACGAAGTGTGAATGTGCTGACACAACAAGTTAACAGCATAAGACAAGTCTGGACGAGTCACAGTGAGATATTGTAGAGCACCAGCCAAACTCATGTACTTCATGGGATCTGCGAATGGCTCATATTCTTCAACAATGGGACGAGAAACAAGAATAGGAGTCGCAAACAGCTTACAATTATAGGGATTTTTTTAAAGTTGAATGATC